GAAGGCTTTGACGCCGATGGAAGGGGGTTTGACTCGAAGCGGGATGTCCAAGGTGGAGACATCGGGATCGTGAAGTGATTCTGCAGACCGGAGAGCTTTGACTCTTTTCCAGGGATCTGCAGGCAAGCTAGGGAACCCTGATTGGAGCTGCTCCACATCCAATGAAGGTTTCAAGATAAATTAGCCTGTTACTTTTCTTGTTCCGGCTGGGTGGGACCAGAGGAGGGGCAAGACGGAACCCACAGCTAACGACAAATGTCAGACATGAGACTGAGAACCCACAGAGGAGGGGTTAGCGGGGGGAATAGCAGGGTGAAAATGTTCTAGGCGTTCCACTTCGATCGTTGAGAATACTGGCGCCAGCTGCAATTGTTGGGAGATGATCGCCAACCAACGTCTGTCTGCCCGTTCTCCGGTCAGGGAGAAGGCCTGTATCTGCCCGCCCCTGTTTGACGGGAGACTGGAGCTTAATCGTAGTGCCTCCTGCCACTGAATAATCACTGATGACTACCAGTTGGTTTTGTTGTTGTTGTTTGAACCGCCAGCCGGTGGCGGCGTGGAAGTTGGGCTGGACCTGCTCTGCTCTGCTCTGCTCTGCTCTGCTCTGCTCTGCTCTGCTGCTGCTGCTGCTGCTTCGCCGTTGATTTGCTGGGAGCAGGCGAGCAGGAACAGCCCACGCCGAGTGAAGCTACTGGAGTTCAACATCTCCATCTCCATCTCCTTCTCCTTCTCCTTCTTCTTCTTCTTCTGCTTCTTCTGAACGAACGAACGAATGAATGAATGAATGAAAGTATATCCTCTAAGTACTCTGTGTTGATTATTATTACAACAGTGCCCGCAACCTTCACGGGCACAGGATATGTTTCAAAGGAGTTGGCCATGTGGATGTAACGGTGGACGAAGTGCAATATCTTGATCAGCACCGGGGGATCACGCGGTCAAGTCCATGCATGATGCATGGTAACTACGGAGCAGCGACCAAACAAAGACAATTCAGACAGAATCACCTTAAATATGTAACTACAGCTTTTTGGTCCGGAATAGTTATTGGGCGCTTTTTAAAATCACAGCGGACGCTTGAAGGTAAGATGTGCCAGCAACCAACCGTCTCTAACCCTTCTGATAATTAGGGTAGAACATGGTATAGATACATAGGTACCGGGCTGGGAGGATGGGGCATGGGGCTACCGGCCTTAACCAAGATTGGGGGGCTGTTGTAGGCACCAAACCCCCGTTAGGCTAGGGATGCCATTCCCAAATAGACGCCGTCTTTATGGTTCGCTGAGGCCGGACAGAACCCATCAAAGTGGACACCCACACAACTACACACAACTCCAGAACCGGGAAACAACAGACCATCTCATTCCATTGCCCTACCCGTTCACTGCCGTATTATATCTAGCGGCTATTCCTTGGTTTGAAAAGTTTCAAACTCATGATTGATGCGCTGTCATCTTCGACCAACGTCTCGGGCCGGATCGGGGACGACTCAGCTGCTGCCGCAAGACCAACAGCCCCAATCTTTCCATAACAACTCCAATCATAAAACAGAAAGGATCCATTTCAAGCCTGGAAGAACTATTAGCAAGTTGCTCCAGATTTCTCGCGTCTCGTCACACAAATCATCTTTGGCAATTTTTGTTGCAATAATACGAGCACCAACATCGTCATTAAAATCATAAAAAAGCATTCGGTATCATCACCCCTCAGTTGTTGTTACATTTAGTAGTTATTTTCTGGTTGTGGAGGTTGGCCTTCCCTGCATGCCTACACAGTGAACCCCTTTAAAACTTATGTTTCCTTCACCTCAACCCCCGAAACATGTGAGTATTCAATGATGCCACCAGCCTACCAGCCAAAGCTCCTCACTGTGCAGCATTCAATCTTTCTGTTGACGCCGCACCTCTTCCCTACGAGTGTGCCAGTGTCGATTGCCTAGGGATTTCCCTTTCAAAAAGTCGATTGCTTCGAGGGAGGTCTGGGGAACCTGGCGGGGTGGGGCACCCCTGTAAGAACCCCCATTCTTAGCCGGAGCTGGGGGTGGGTGTGGGCTGTGGAAGCATGATGTGGCTCCCCTTGGTATCCAGCTCCAACAGCCCAATCCTGATTTCATCCCTATAGTGCTCGGTATCTTCTCTGTCACAAAGCTTGTCTCAGACTAAGAAACACTGGCGGTGGAGCTGCCAATCATTCTAAATCAAAGCTTACGCATACCTCCAGCTAGATTCCCAGTGTGGCTTTGTCGGTCCAGTGTGTGTGTGTGTGTGTGTGTGTGTGTGTGTTGTGGGGGGGGGGGGGGGGGGG